GGCTGGGGATCTCACTCAGCTATCCCTGCAGCAGCACATCAGCACTGCAGTCAGTAGTGCAACAGGAAAGTACAGGAACCAAGGACAGAAGACACTGTGCAGGCTCCTGCTCATAACCAGCCAGACATTGTTCAGAAACCCTTTGCCCATGCTCTGCCCCTCCTTCAAGTGAAGCCCTCAAACAGTGCTCCCTGCAGTGCTTCTTGCTGGCTCTAAGTTCCTCAGCAAAGCATCAAGCACCTTCTCAACATTTCAACAGGAGTTTCAGGGCACCAGCATTTCATTGCATGAGACAACTCAGGTTCAGCAGAAAGCAGTGCAAGAGTCCTTTCTCCCAACCTCCTTCAGTTTGCAAACTCCCAGGCCCAAATCAGCAACCTGTACAAACCTCATGCTTTTACTACCCTTGAGGGAACTTCAGCAACAGCTCTGTCAGGACTTCACCATTTAGCTGTATCCATCCCCCAAAGCCTGTGAGGACAATATACTTTCTAGAGAGACCAGAGATACGGCTCCAAACCTAATTCCAGGATGGTGATGGACACAGACTGTGCTGACATAGTGCTGTGGGTATTAGTGTCTCTGAATTCCTGCTCCTTCCCTGTGAATTAGCTCAAATTCTCAGAGATCAAGTGACTCTTCAACTGCTACCTTTGCCGCTTTTCCTCCAGACAGAGCAGGCACAGAAGACAAAGCAATGCCTTTTCAAGAAGCACAATCTTGCAGGGAYCCACAGAGCCAAGAGAGAGGTTCAGGAGTACCTGCAAGGTGGGATCTAACAGGTTGTGGGGATTTTTCTKGCATGTTGTCTTGTATCTGCCCCTCTTCCACACCAAGGAGCCTTTCTTACTTGCTCCCTCTTTACAGTCTCAACTCTTCCTGGTCCTCATGCTTAAAATAACCCTCAACCATAAAAAATCTGTGTCATCTCTGTGCGACACTGTTGCTTCTCTCCCTTGCCTGCTCTCACTCACTGAAATAACCTGCCTCTATCCCTTCTGGTATTGCTATAATTACTAGTTATTTTAGACTTCAGGRTGAAGAGAAAACATTGGTGGTTTTGTCTCCATTCTCTCACTCAGAGAATTCAGTTCCTTGAAATTAGATTTTCCATTTTGAAAATGGGAAAAAGCTCCTCTTAGCTCCTAGATGGAGGTTGCAGTGGATTTCCCTTTTGAGACGGAATCTGAACCTCAGTGCTTTATAACTCATTGGAATTTTTCCCACCAGTGTTCAAAAACCCCATCACACAACAAATACCAAAAAACCCAAACAAGTCTGTATTCCTCTTACTTGGGAAGAGACATCACAGTGCAAAACCAGAACAGAGGCATCTTTTGTGACTAAATCTCAGAACTCTGATTAAGAAACTAGAAAACCGACTCCTCTGCAACTGACTCATTCTGTGACAGATCAGAGATTATCTCAGCATTGCATTCCTAGTCAGCAAAACAAACGGGTCTTACTAGATTAACATTAATGAAGGAATTTGAGAACGCTGCTGCAGTGTGCCACGGAGGATTTTTTTTTTACTTAGCCTTCATCTAAAGCTATTTTAGTCTTCATAAGCTATATCAAGCATACATGACTTTGCCCAAATAATTTACAAGGACACAGCATTATCTTTCTGCAGACATCCCAGAGCAGCAGCACTGTGCAGGCTGGGTGATCAGGCTCATGGGCTGGACACACAGCTGCCACGGACCTACCAAACAAGTTTGGGGAAATCGTGTCYGCGTCCCAAATTAAGCAGGGAAGATAGCATTTATCCATGTCCCCAGGATGTTGATAGACAATGTTCAAAAGGAGAAAATATTAATATTTTCAGTCTCCAGCCCTTTCAAATTCCTCCACACTGAGTTCCTTTCTCATACGCTGTAATTCCTCCACACCTTTGGGCTCCCATAACCCAAATCAACCCCAGCCACTAAAACCTCCCTATCACATCTTTGCTACTAAAGCATTTCAATTCTTCTCTGAGAACACCTTTGAAATACCTTTTCTTCCCCTCTTCTTTGTTGTTGGTTTGTTGTTTGGGAATCCCTTATTTAAYTGAAGCAAAGCCTAGAGGGAACCCACTTACAATCTGGTTACTATACTGACCAGAAGTACTGTGAGGCAAACTTCAGATTGCCTCTACCCAAACACAAGGACCTATCTGATACCCTCACTAAGAGAACAAAGAGCATTCATTTGGGAAAGGAACATGTGATTAAACATGTGATGTTCTTCTGGGGGTATGTTGAAGATTATCTGAAGGATTTTGATAACAGAAAATTAATCATTTTCTGATGATCCTTTCCCCACCTGGCTGTAATGTGTCTCACCTATCTGTCCCAATACCAGAGTGGCATACTGTAGTGCCCTGACACACTTTGGGACAGTGTTAGGGTAGCTTTCAAAATGATTATAATAAAAGCATTACTTAAAGCAGCTGCTTGCTCCCTTTCCACCCCAGACACAGCCACTTATTCACCCATGCAAGAACATMAAAAAAACTGAATGTGGAACCTTGATGTTCATAGAAAAGATGTGACAAGTGGCAAACAGCAAGAGTGAAAAAGTGCATAAACTTACACGTGGACAGTTTAAATGGGCATAAACTTTCAAGTACAACTTGAAGGCCTTTAGGCAATACAACATAGCAACAGTCTTCATTGTAAGCATTTTAAGAACTGCATCCCTGTTTTGACACCAGGGTGGCTGTTGGCAGTCTTGTTCTCTCTCACTGCAGCATCTCTGCTCCACTTTCTCAGACTACAKCCTTCTCCCATGTTGCCCAAGCTGCCCTAAGCACAGGGACTGTAGGACACCACGGGCCCGTGGGGCTGCCAGCTCACAGGGTGCTGTGCATTGCTGGAGCCGGTGCTCAGCGCTGTAGGCGAATTTGTGCTGCAGAAGCCAGGGCAAGGCCCTGCCAGGTGCCACTTGTCCCACAGCTCAGTGCGAGGAGGCTCAGGGTGCGCAACCATCCCCAGCTGCCCAGGATGYGAGTCCTTCGGGTGGGGTACATCGGTCGGACTGGGCAAGCTGTGTGCCCCAGGGCCAGCCCAGCCTGAAGGTGCTGTCCCCACAGCCCCGGTGTCCCGMTGTCCCTGCAGCCTTCACTGTTCCACGGCCACCCCTCGTGTCACTGCAGGTCACGAGCACCGYTCCCACCTGCACGCGACAGGATGCCCTGGCTGGAGCCCAGCCAATCAGCAGCTCCCGCGGAGCCCCCCGCGCGGAAGAGGCGCGGGCGGGAATGGCCCCGAGCCAATCACGGAGCTCGGCTGTGCCGGGGGGCGTGGCGCAGACCACCGACCTGCGGCCCCTTTAAGTGAGCAAACTTCACCTCGCCCCCTCGAGACCCCCTCGCGCCCCGATTGGCTGGCGGGTCCCCGACGRAGCCGCCTCGGGTTGCGTGTTCGCTATTGGCCAGCAGCACCCGTCAGTCAGAGCGGAACTATTTTCTGATTGGTCAGCGCGCTGTTGGTCCCGCCGCGGAGGCGGGGGCCACCGCTTTCCCGAGGAAGGGTCCGGCGGGCGCCCCCAGGGGCGCGGGGCCGTGAGGGGGAGCGGGGCGCGGGGAGAGTCGGGGGGCGCGGGCGCGGCTCTCACCGATGCGCTGTCCCACGGGGGAGCTGAAGGGGTTCCCCAGCAGAAAGTCCATCGCCGCCGCCGCCGCGCCGAGATCAGCTGACGCCGCCGCCGCTCACGTGATCCGCGCGCCGGCCGGGGCGGACCCCGCCGGGCCCCGCTGTGACGCCACCGGCCGCCGCCCGGACCGGCCCCGCCTGCCACCGGCTGAGCGAGGCGCGGAGCGGCGGCGGTTGCCGGGGGAGGGCGGTGTGGCAGCCGGCTGGCCCCTGGTCCTGCTGACCCTTAGTCCCCGCCCGCRGGAGCCGAGAAGCTCCCGCCGCCGACAGCCTCCGCCGCTTGCTGCAACCACTCTGAACTCGTGCAGAACACCCGCGAGCCTGAACGGTGCCCAAATCGTGGAAAGCCTGTGGCGATAGGTTTTTAGTTTTCCGTAGCCCGGTGTGGAAGTGTATTCGTAGGTATTAGGAAGAAATTGTTTACTGTGAAGGAGGAGAGGCACCGGGTCTGTACTGTTGCCGAGAGTTGTGGATGCCCCATCCTTGGAAGTGTTCCAGATCAGGTTGGATGGGGTCTTTGAGCAAACTTCTTTTTGTGGAAGGTGTTCCTGTCTGTGGCAGGAGTATTGGATCTAAATGATATTTAAGGTCCCTTCCAATCCAAACTATCCTGAATCTGCACAGGGTAGTTGGTAAAGGCACCACATTCTGTGACATGCTCTCGGCTTGCCCTGCCCAAGCCGAGGCTGCAATCAACCAACACCCATACCCGGAAAATGGGGACATGCTAATAACCAGCACAAATCCCGCTCCAACACTGCCACGCCTGACATCCTGCAGAACACGTTTGAGTTCTGTATATTGGTATCACCTGAACGCCACAAACCTGAACTGAAGTGAGGCAGCAGGGAAGACAAATGCCCTGGATGTTATCTGCAGTGCTTCATGGTACATCTCCCTTCTGGGAGGTCTCACACGCTCCGGAGCCTGAGCGATTTAGGTGACCTGTGCTGATGGAAACAGTACAGCATGCCTGCCAACTGAGSGAGTTTAGCAAGGCTTGGATTGGATGTGTTTTGCTGAGAACACTAAATACAAGTAACAACAACAGCTGCMGAAAACAGCACATGCCAGAAATGAACGACAATACTCAGAAGTTAAAAAAAAAATTATATTGTAAGTACAGTACAAAAAAGTCTGTGTATAATTGTAATGTAATCTGGACCAAACAGCAAAGAAATAACAAAAATATAAAAACTTCTAAGTCTTGACAAAGTTTTCCCTATAGTACCAAATACCACAAGATACAGATTATACAAAGTGTACAAATTTTAATAAAAATACAACAGGGTTGTGTGTGTTTTTCACTCTTCAAGAGTTTTCTAATGTACAGAGGACAAAGCTAAAGCTGATCCCCCTCTGTTTCTTCAAAAGCAGATCTATCCCTTCACCACAATGTTCTCAGTTTTGAAGGGCTGGAAAGAGCCAGTTATTTTGTGCCTCTCACAACAGCAGATGCTTTAGTATAGGCCAGGATCTGAAGCAGGATTGGACTTCCTTTTTCCTGGGCCCTTCCTAATTCCAGGTTTATTAGGATTTGTCATAGGTTGTTAAAGCATGTGTTCTGGTCTGGTGGTCTGCGAACCTTCTGTGCCTCCTGCACTGAGAAAACCCCTCACTGCTCTTAGAAAAGATCCGTCAGAGACAGACTACCTTGTACAGGTATATCTGGGTAATAAATACCAGAGGCATGGCGAGGAAAATCCTCCTCCACATGCCAGGGTTTAATTTACTTCTGATTTAGGGCTCAGCCACAATGAGGGACAGCTCATTCTCAACTGTCCTGAAAAACAGAAGCTAGACTTACTTGTAAGTAAAAAAATGCCTCTTCTGTTATTTTAAAACTTTCCTGTTACAGAGCTGGTAAATCCTGAGTCAAATGCTATTTCAGTTGTTCTAACAACCTTTAAAAGATAGCCTGTTTCTACAAACATTTAGAATCCTGGTATTTCCTTACACAATGCCAATGCTTACTACTATATACAGAGTTGATTCCTGCAGGAAGTGAGGTGAGGCAAACTTGATTCACGTTTTCCACACACTATTGGCTGAGGGAGGAGTTTTTGCTTTTAAATTATGTATATATATATAAATATATACACACACACAGAGAAATATACAGGATAAATAAAAATCTGTTACAGATACTGGTAAAAGTTAAATACATRTGATATGAACACCACATACACATACATACACACAGACAAAAGCCTAAACAGGAATCAAGTCTTCTCCTGTAGCTCCTCTTCCAGAGGAGCAGAAAACCAAACTCCAAGTATGTGGCTGGAAGGAAGGGAAACCAATCRAATCAACCCACATGTGCCTTATTTGGCCGTAACTGCTTCAAATTGGCCACTGGTTACTGCCTTGCAGCAGCACCATTACAGCTCCTGCAATACTGCTGGTGAAAGGGAGGGGGAATGAGCCATTTCACCAAACAGGTGCAAGATGGGCAGAAGCAATCCAAGTTTCTCCCATCTGCTTCTGTATTCCTCTCCATGAAAGCAGGCTGACCAAGCTGTGGAAATATCAGCAGGAGGTTCATTCTCTCAAGCCAATGCAATGGGTTGATACATTGTGCTAATGATGATTTGAGTATGAGTCCACAAAGAAAAATTAAACTTGTTTTTGTCTTCACTTCAAAGGCCAGCTACCAGACCAGCCAGCTGACCGTGACAACTTTTATTGACTGAAGAGAGGTTGGAAAAAGTGACCAAGAGGCAAAAAGCTATTAAGCTTTCCCCTCAAGCAGTGTATTTTAAACAGAAAAAGAGTTACAAATAGGGCTGGTGAAGAATTCAGTTCTAYTCCTTGGTCCAAAATATATTATCATCTCTACCTGCCCATGAAATATCAGAACACTTTAGTTTGGCAGGGGTATTAGGAGGCTGTCTGATCCATTTCCCTGCTTAAAGAAAGTCCAACTAGAGCAGGCTGGTCATTCAGTTTTCAAGGAAGGAGAGTCAAAACCTCTCTGGGCTACCTGTTTCAATGACCACTATCATGGTGACAGCTTTCTTCTTTATATTGAGAAGTCCATTCTCTGTCTGCTTCCCCCATTAAATCTGAATTTAAGGCAAATATCTCAAAAGCTTTCTGAATTCTTCATACAGAATACTTGCAGATTGGAGGACATTTCACCCACCAACACAAAAGGGTTTTCTCAGCTTAACTTCAATACTTTCCATAAAATAGAAGTCAAATAGTTACAATCCTATGTATATACTATATATATAAAACTTTAAAAGYCTCCACGTGGAGCCCTTCGAGAGCGCTGGCGTAGTGCATGTACACAAGTCAGTTACACAGAGGTTGAGTACATCCCAGGATCTTTTCCCATCAAAGTCCAGGCATGATGTAGGCAATGTTGTCTAGTGTGTTTGACTGGGAAAAGAAATTTGGTATTTTTTAGTGTCAGGTAATAACTCAAAATGCTTTAAAAAGGACACAGGTGAGGGTACTAAGCATACTCACTTGTGTTACAAGTTATCATAAGATGAGACAACCAAATCTGCCTATTGATCACTAGGCTGACTTTCACACTTTTGAAAATGTAGGCTAACAACATAAAGGCAGCTCAATAGCATGAGTRTTTGTAAGTACCTGGAAACACTGAAAATGCTTGAGGCTTTCGCCAGGTGACCTCCTCCTTATGAGCTCATATTGTATCTCTTCAAGCCAGAGACCATATCATGTCAACCACAGAAAAGATCAGTGATGAAGGTGATCAAAGTTGTAGTATGTAAAAAAACCCTGACACCCACAAGTTCTTTATGAAATTCTAAAAGTAAAGAGAAAAACTCTTAAACACCCCCCCTAAAAGGGTGTCGGGGGGAAAAAGAAGTGCCCTTCAGTTTTTCTTTGAAAACATAACAGAATTCTGAGAGTAAAAGTCCTTCTCATGCACATCAGACAAAAAGACCCAGCTATATGTTGTTCAGATGCAGTGTTTTAGTAAGCTCATGCCTGCGGCTGGAGAGCTGAAGGAGGCCTTAGGAAGAGCACCTTTAACTGGGGGACGGAGGAGCTGGATCTGCACCAGCTGTGATTCTAGAATTTAGCAATGCCATCTACTGTCTGAAAGATAAATTGCAACACMACCGCTGGGGTTTATCCATGTCTTAGAACACCACCGTAGTTATGTATCTGACAGTGAAAATCAGATTTATTATCAACTCCTTAACACTGATTTCCAGAAGCGAAGGGTAGCTGCCATAATTCATGTAAAGCTCCATTGCTCCGTATAACARTAAGTTGATCGAGTTTCCAATAAACGCGCCATTAGTCATGAGGCGTCACTGCTCTGAATAAACTTGGCAAGCCAGAAGGAAAACAAGCATAGGAGTTTTTCCATGGCTTAAGATGGGAACACCCCACTGACTCAACTTTTGTGCACAGAGCCAGTCTATGGGGCTTCATAGACTAAATTTTCATTTTTGTTCCTGTTGTTGATAATCAGTTCTCTTAATGAATAAACATTTGGGCTATCCTATTATGGCATGACGATTCATAACCCATTTTTGTTGGCCTCTCTGCCAGGTTTATTTTTAATCTCTTAACTTTTGCAGACTGTATGTTTTTTATTTTTGCTCCTCCCCTTTGCTGCTTCCTTCATGTCTCCTGTATMAAGTATGACTGCTATCTTAATCTTATGTCCACATCAGGCTCCACAGATGCCACAAGCTCTTGCTAAATCAGGGCTCTTAAATTACTACTTTAAAAGTAGTTTAAAGTGGGAAAGAAACTGTAGTTATGCAGCTCCTTAGGACTGTTTTTCTTTCCTCAGAGAAGGTTTCAGCCACTTGTAAAAGATCCTACACCATCACATTAGGAATCCTGAGATCACAAACTGGTTTTTACGCTCCTGAAGAAAAAATAGCTTATGTGATAGAGAACAGCCAGAAGGTAGGTTTTATTTTTATGGAAAATTAGAACTTTCAAGAGTACTGGTATACTTTTATTTGATTCAGATTGATTAACTCCATCACTAAAACAGGACCTACCTACACTGCAATCAATGCTACAAATATGAGGTCAGTTGCCAGTGGGAGAAAAAATAAAGTTGTACAATATTGTACAACGGTAGTATCTGTAAGAATTTCAAGAAATATTCCTCTATAAAAGTGCATGACCAAGACAAATTTTCTTATTGCACTGGAATTATAATTACACTACACTGATTAATAAAAAAAMCTCAATTTGGACTCTACTGAAATTAGGTGCTAGAAGGAGAATAACCATAAAGAACTCACCAAAACATGCTTCGGGCAGCCATTCAACTCAGGTAGTTGTGTGGTCAGACATGCCAATGGGCCCAAAGCACAGATGATTGAATCTAGGAGTACTGACAAACTTCCTGAAACAGCCACCATTCCCTAATAGGGAGGAAAGAAAAAAAATGGACAGGGATTAGWAGTGGAAAATTGTGCTTCTTTTTCAAATGTATCCATTCTCATGCAGATACAGTATCTTCAGCTCCTCCAGTCCACTTTCATTATTTACACAGTAACAAAGCTGTGCCTTGTGCTTCACACAGAGACTGCTGGATCAAAAAATTAGAAGACTTCAGTAGGCAACAAACTGATGCAACATAAGGGCAGGAATCAACAGAAAACATCAGAAAGTTGTCAGTTGTACAAAACACTGAATTCCAGAAATTTTTGTGAAATATTTCTTGTGCCATTTTGCACCATCTCTTTTGTTAACTACATGAGTCCTAATGTCAATAGTTGTTTTATTTTTGAAGTTAAAGAAATGTGAAGCTTTAGTCATTGATATACTTTCATGAAATGGAATTTGTCTGTATGCTTTTCTGTACTCTGGTTGTTCCTCTGAAACCAAAACCAAAATGCAAGAACATTTATTTCACTCCTGATAAAATGAGCAAGTACAGTGGGACGAGATAATCATACTACTTATAAACTTGAATGATATTATTTGAGAAAAATATATTTTTCTACTTAGAGGCCGGGCTGAGTTCTGAAAGTATGTACGTGTGCATGTACATTCATAGAGTTACTATCATTAAACCGTAGGAAACCATCAAAATGTGAGATTATGTTACCAGGTCAGTTGAAACAATAGTAGCTCCTSTCCAAAGCACTGGCAATATGATACTGGCAGAAAACTAGAGGACATGCAAAAAAACTTCTTGGTAAAGAATACAGCTTTCTAAGAAGTAGAACAAGAACAAAAACTTACTAGAAACTGACAAAATAGCAAGGAAGTACCAGATCCAAGGTGAACATACAGTAAGAAAAGACTGAAGAGTTTGCTGAACTAGGAATTACTTTCAAGGACCTAGAGCTGCAAAGCACCTGTCTTTCTTTGATGCCTACTGTTTAGTRAGGCTTATTATTTCACTGAAAATAAAGAGCAATGCTTCAAAGAAACAGGGCATGTCATCTCTAGTTTCTCCTCCTAACAGAAAAGCACTGGTTAATCTTTTAAGAAAATAAAATCATCACCCCTCTTAATGCATTGTGTAGATTACAGGACATCACTGTGACTTTGCTGGTTACACTCACCTCTGTTTCCTGCAGTCTGTGTCCAATGAGGCTCAGAGATTCACCCAGCAACTGTAAATGTGCAGCTACATCAATAGGATCTGTCTCAGGGACTTTGGCTGGTGAGGAAGGCACCACCACGGTGCYGCTGGGGGATTTCTTATGAGGGGAAATCACTCCTGTTGGAGAAGCTAGAAACACAAATTARAATTCCATATTCCTTTTTTTCATGCTTTTAGTTACAAGCCTATACACTTAGCAAAGTTCAAACCTTATAGGCATGAGATGCTTAAATAGTTCTGTTGCCCCAGTCCCACAGTCTTTGGAGTCAAAACTTTTTTTCACAGGTACAAAGCATCTGCTGTGGCTGAATGCAACTGGGGGAGATTTGGTATCACAGATGCTAAACCAAGAACAACCCATCTTCCTCTAGTAGCAACTAATTCCACTAGAACCTCCTTTCTGCCTCTTCTTATTTTACATKTCAATCCCATAATAACTGCTAAAACTAATACCATTCCATGAATCAGACAAGGAAATATTTATGAAAAATACGGACATCATTCATGCTCTCATAGGAAAGTTGATTTGATTAATGATTTAAATGTCATGCTTTGTGAGAAAGCAGGTAGGGAGATGAAGTGGGTTAAGGACCTTTGTCTCTTATTCCACAGGCAACATTACCTTCTCTGTCCAAGGACAGTGACAAGAGCAAATAAAGTGCAACAATTACCTTTCATTTTTGGTGCACCATCTGAAGATGATGCYTTTCTCTTCACAGTGGTGGCCTCTGCTTTATTCTGCTTGTGTTGGAGATATTGAGCTTTCTGTTTCCAGATCTGTAGTTACCATGGTAGGAAGAGAAAGATTCATAAGATTAGGTAATTCTGTTACCTGATGCCAGGACCTGGAGGCAGAATGATGTTACATAGCTAACAGGTGAAGCAATCCCATAAGACCAAACGGAATGCTTTTATCTTTGCAAGGGCAAAGTTTCCATAATTTCCACCATTACACGCTTTGGGGATATAGGTAACATACTTCAAGGCAGAGTGGCAATGCTGCCACCACATTCTGATCTAAGCACTTAGCTCACAGAAATAATTTTACAGAAACATCTTATACAAACACTCACCAGTTTATCCTTCTCAGGTAGCTGCTTCCACACTTCAGCCAGTTTTTTACTTAGCTCTCCAAAATCTAGCAAAAAGAAAGAAAGAAAAAGTTTAAGACAAATTTGATCATAAAATCATGGAGAGAGCCTTGGAAATTTACCAGCCCATCAACAAACATTTAGGAACCAAGCTATTCCACAACTGAAACTCTCCACACTGTCCTGAAAACGTGCATTCCTGCTACTGTATAAAATGAAAAAAAAAACCAAGCAGATACCAGGAATATGAAGTCCCAGGGTATTTACAGGAAAGTGACACAATGAAGGTAACCCTTTGGGTAAAGAAAGCGCTAGCAAYTTCTTTATCCAGACTCACAGCTTGGTTAAAATAAAATGCAATCACAAAATCCACTCCTGTCCCCTTTGCCACTCTTATTCTAAGTAACACTGGCAGATTCAGAATTAAGAGGTTGGTCTGAAACAGGGACAATATGTTCTGCTAATTAATCTGACTGGTGTATAATCAAGAGAAGGCTGGATTATTCTCTTACCTATTCCAGGGTGCTCAGACACAATAGTTGTACGATATTCCTTACAGAATACTTGATAAGCAGACATGTTTTTCTTCTTTGGCTAGTCAGAAGAAGAAAGGAAACAAAGATTTATAATTATGATGAGACCTTCTCCAATTTAGTAAGAATTTGGCATTTATTAAAGACTTAAAGAAAGACATGGTACTTAGACAGGGAACTATACAAAGCAGTCCTTTATGACTTCTGCCTGGTTTACCAACTCAGTCAGAACTGGTCTTAGTACAAGGCTTATCTGGCAAAACTCAACAAGCTGCTACTCTAAATTTGGGATCAACATCCAATTTTGTTAATTTATCTCAGTTTTTTAAAACTTAAAAGAATAAAACACAGTTATCTGTTATACTATTCACAGTACCTATTATAGACTGGTCAAAACAATTCAGTCCTCATGATAATGTTTTGTTCCATTCCTTGCATTCTTACAAAGTACTTCAAATTGGCAGGAAAAGACACAGTGAAGTACATTGACAGCAAAGGTATTGTAGTTGCTGAGCTATGATCAGGGAAAAGTTCCCAAATAGAATAGGATAATGGCTGAACAGATTTGGGCTCTGTCTGCCCATTTCCTCATACAGAGCATTATTTCTCTATCTGAACATGCACAAACTGCTTTCCCCCCTTTACTTATGCAGCTACAGTTATATCATTTGTAAACTCATTCATATGCTAGCTACCATTTCTGCTACTCAGATCTTGATGCAGTAACCATGGAAACCTGATTATAAAAGTATAGGACAAAACTGAGAAYATGGTAGTCTATAAGAATTAAAATTTCATTTGAATACAGGAGTAAATGGGCAAATATCTTCAATTTTCAGGTTAAGAGCTTGATTCTTTTTTCCAGGAACTTTGATCACTAGTCTAGAAGTCTGCCTGGGAATAGCTAGAGCCAGTCACATTGGAAAAAGATGCGGATGTGCTTGGTATATGACCTGATCAGCTGAAGACTGTCTGTGCCACAAAGCCAGAAAGACATAAATTCCTTTTGCAACAAATAAAAATCACAGTGGCTGACACATTTTCCCAAACATGCTTCAGTTACACCACTGATAATTGGTATCAGTTATCCTTCATTTCAATTTAACATGCCTTTGTAATGGAGTGCCTAATTCACCATCATCCACCTCCCAATTTCTATTTTCCCTCTATTTTTCCTTACTTTGTCTCTTTCTCTTTCTTTTTCTCTTTCCTTTTCTTTTTCTCTTTCCTTTTCCTTCTCTCTTTCCTTCTCTTTCTCTCTTTCCTTTTCTTTTTCTCGTTCCTTTTCCTTTTCTCTTTCCTTTTCCTTTTCTCTTTCCTTTTCTCTTTCCTTTTCCTTTTCCCAAGGCTTGTCCTTCTCCTTGTCTTCCTTTTTCCTCCTCTTTTCACCTTGACCATCTGAGTGAAAAACAGCAGGAGGAGGTGGAGAAACAACATAGGGGGGTGGTGGTGACACTCTTACTTCTGCTACTGCCACAGGAGAGTGCCCAGAACTCTTTTTAGACTTGGAGTGCTTCTTCTCTCTGTGTTTCTCCTTGTCCTTTTTTTTCTTATTTTTTTTTGACTTTTTCTTTTTCTTGATTTCCCGGTAGGAGTCATCTATCACTAGCTCTCCAACCTCCAACTCTCCACCAGAAGAAGAACCAGATTCTGGTGGTGCCTCCAGACCTGAGATCTCATACTCGCTTCCATGGCCCTCTGAATGAAGGGAGGTGTCAGCACCAAAACTCTCAGAAGGTGGATGGGAGTCTGGAGGTGATTTGTGCTTTTTCCGGGATGACTTCAGGAAGCTCTGCAGATCGTGGCCCAGCAGGAATGAGCCTTGCTCATCTCGAACTGATTTCTTTGAAGATTTCTTTGCAGCTGCTGGTGCTGAAGAGTAGGATAAAGATTCATCATCTGGTGCACTACTTTTCTCTTTTGGTGAAAGGATGAGCTTCATCTTCAAGCCATCAGGTTCACGAAGAGTAAGTGTCTCTGTGTTCACGTAAAGAGGTTTCATTTTTTTAGATTTGTGGGAACTGCTATCATCCACTGAGTGCTCCCCACTGCTCCCACTCAGCTTCTTCTTGGGATGCTCCTTTCTGCTTTCAGAATGGCCAGAGGAAGAATGAGATGATTTTTCAGAGATCCTCTTTGAAGACTTTGAGCTTGTGGCCAAAGGTGAGGTGATAGTCTTGAGTAAATCCATGGATGTATCAGCTGAGGATGGGCTAGAAGCTGCTTTTTTTTTCTTCTTTGACGGTAGATCCAAAGGCAAGACACCTGAAAAAGATCAAGAGAAATGTACATTGAGATGATTCCCTTAAAGACAGCAAAGGGATGTAAAAATCCTGTGAGCCTTATGATTACAAGTGACAGATTTACATCCTGACTTAAAAAGAACCACAGTCAGCACAGCCTTACTGATAAATTCGGAGGCTGTGATACCTGACTTGGTCAAATAATTTAAAGAAGGCAGACAGCAGGAAATTTCTTGACATTTTGTCAAACTCCATTCTGTTGTGAAAGAACATATTTTGATGAAAATACATGTTACTGAAATTATGTCTCAAGTACAAAGTTTTCGTGACATTTTTAGTCAAAGTGAAACCAATGAGTTGAAAATATGAGCTTTTTCATTCTGTGGACAGATTTAGATGGAAGATTAAATTTCAGTTTGTTTTCCTCCTTCTATTGGACCAAAAAAAATCCTAAATGTGTTAAGCTTTTATGAACCAAATTGTCATTTTTGGCCAACTTATTGTGAGAATAACTTAACAGAAAAACATTTATTTTTCAGCCTCAGACATTCAGTTTTTCTAAGTTCAGAGCATACTACCTGTAAGTATAATTAGTTTGTAATGCAATAGGAAAGAAAGAAACGCAAATGTCAAATGGGAATGCAGGGGTTAGAAAACTATGACTTGTCAATGAAAAGGGGATGGAAGATCTCTACCCGCAAGAATGGCAATTTATAGACTATGAAAATATAATTCCCTAATCTTCTGCTGGCTTGCGCTGATCAGTTTTAGGTTTCTGATTACTTGTTCAAAGGCATCTTGATGTACTCTCCTCCTATAAAATGCTAAACACAAAGTTTGATGACACTGGTTTAAGAGCGTCCTTTCCCGAAACTCATGGTTTGTTAGCCCCTTCCCCTGCTTGATTACTACCTTACCTCTGTAGCAGAACTCATCGGAGGAGTGCTTTCTCTTCTTTTTGTGAGATTCTGACCCTGGAAAAAACTCACTGTCCTGGAATAAGAAGAAAAAAAGTTGCTGACAAAAAGGAGGGACTTATTATGATAGTCATATGGACTATTAACATAGAAAAAAATTTTTAGGAAGTATCGAGACTTATTTGTACTAATGTACCACCAAGGATCCCTAGGTATGAACCAGGATCATCATTCTGGGTACTAAAAGGAAACCTACTCTGTCCCCAAGGGCACACAGTGTAGGTTTAAAGGAAGACAAAACATATGCTACAGATAGGTGGGAGAATACAAAAAATGGTATTAGTCAGGATTGGTTTCAGCATAACAGTCACCTAATTGGCAGCAAGCTTTCTGTAGGCACTGCAGCMTAACAGGGCTCCAAGGAAACTGAAAAATTAATCTCTATAGGGAGGCCCCCCAAGTGAGAGGAGCAATAAAAAAGAAAATTTGAAAAAACACATTTAGAAAGTGTTGAGACATGGGCAACGAAAGCCAGCACTTGGAGATCAGATGATGAGTTGATAAAAGACAGACATCTGCCTCTTAATAGAACTAAAATAACTGAGCATGCACAGATAGCTAAGCCTTGAAAACAAAGGCGAGCAGTTCACGTTTACTAGGCTGAAAAAGAAGTGACAGGAGGTACAAAGAGGTGACAACTAGAATGATGGGTCAAAAACATGTCCTTAACATGCCATGTCATCTAATTATTATCCACATCTTGATCAATTTACAAATCTGAAACTGAAGCTCCTCTACAGAAATCTATCTGCATGGTAGAAGATTTTCATTTTAAACTAGAAYTTGCTTTCCAGATGGAAAAAAAAATCACTAGACAGCCATCTTTCAGCTAACAGCAGAAATAAATTTTAGCTCAAAGAGGAAAGTTTTGAAGAAACTTATGTTGCCATTACATAATTTTAACGGTTAAGGCCCCAAAGAGGTGGATAGGACAAGTTCATTCCTCTCAAGAGCTATCGTTTCAGGCTGTCTGCAGAATCAGGAAGACAACAGAGCATCAGTTAACATTCTACCCATCTTTGTGGGCTATTTATACAAACATAAATGCKGTTGTTTTTTTAATGTATATAAGAGTCTTATGACTTGCAAGGTTCTACATCAACACTAGAACATCAGTCCTACTGCCTTATTTTCTGAGGCCAGAAAAATCAGAATCAGGGATTGATCTCCTCCTTGTCCCCAGGAAAGTTACTGAACAATACAGGACAYGACTAGCTGCTCTTGCTGTCTTCTACATGCATTTCTAAATTAAAAAAAAAATAAAAAGGACAAGAAACTCATTCCATCCCATTCCATTCCATCACTACCTTTATACATCTTGAACCTTTTCTCTGAGGGCTCTTACCTGAGTTGTCTTCTCATCTTCCTCTTGCAGAAGATCCTTGTATGAGCGTTTTTTCTCTCGCTGTATCCTGCCAGGTGCCAGCCCGTCATCAACACTTCGGTGACTCTCTAGGTACTCTGTGATTTAGTGAAATGGGGAAAAAGGAAGAAATTAAATATCACATTAAGGAATGAGAGACAAAAGGACCATGCACAAAATAACCTAACAGAGGAGATTGGCACAGAGTGAAGCACAAAACCCAACAAGCATAGAGGCCTGAAAGGTAACAGTTTGTACTATGTGACCAAAGGGATGTGGCTTGGTGCTTTATCACTATCGTTCCAGATTTAATTTCTAATGCTGGGATATTCCTTCTTAAAGACAAGTAGACCTAGAATGTTACCATCGCTAAACGTCCCCTGTCCCATTGACCTGGAAGGGAGAAGAAAGGCTGCAGTGACAGAGCTCCCTATCAAGGTATCTACATTAGGAAATACCACCCATTTCTCTCAAGTTTTAGTCCCAGTATTCTACACCTTGAAGCAAAGGGCTTGGGATCCTCAGTAATTTGGCCAGGTTAAAGTTAGGGGCTCCACAGCACACCAGCTTCCTTTCCCACTCTGACTACATTGCCCTACAAGGGCTGCAACAGACACACTTCTTGTTTGTGGTTTTTTTTTGGTTTTGTTTGTTTTTTTTTTTGTTTGTTTGTTTGGTTGGTTTTTTTCCGCAAATCCCTCTGAGATTATGAAGCAGTCATACCTTCTTTCTTCTTGGTGCCATCATAAGCCATGGTGGTCCTGCAGGAGCCTGTGAATGAGTTGCCACGTCCGGGCTCCTTCCCCCGTTCCCATCTATAGGAAAAGGTCTGAGAAACAGAGAATGAAAATAACCCTCCCTCACTGTGTACATTGGGAAACTTTCTCTGAAACAAATAAGGATTCTCTGGAAGACAGTGGGAAAGAAAAGGTTCTTCAGGTGGGCTGTGGTCACTCTTCAGTCTTGACACATTTGCAGTTTTTTAAATCAAAATGGATGTTTTATTACTTTAAAGACAAAAAAAGACCACCTTTTTCTTATAAAATATCTAAATTACTGAAATAATTTATTTACAAAAACAGAAAGAGGATGAGAAGAAAACTGAGTTTAATTTTCATGACACACAAAACTCTACCAAAACTGTGTTGGGGCCACTTTTTGTCAGAAGCCATTGTAGCAAAGAGTGGGATGTTTAAAGTGATTTCAAACCCTTGAATCTCAGATGAAGTGAAGGACAAGAAGGGACCAGGGAGAAATAATTTAATTACAAAAGAATTATAATTATTTTTTTTAACTAGAGAATGACACATTTTGTTTTAAAGGTGTGCATCCTTCTGATGTGTTTCCCAACGCTACCAACTGCAGCCATTCTGAATGCCAGCCTGGGAGAGGGGATGGAAAAGAGCACTCCTTTCAGCTAGGCCTGCAGCAACCCATCCTCTGCTCCCCAGGTTTCAGGCCTCCTCTAACTGAGGCAGTGTTCCAGCTTTGGGCATACAGCAGGACAGTGCTGCTATGAAACAGCCACACTCTGGTTGTCTCCGAACAAACAGTTTTTATTCCTCAGTCAGTGACCAGCTTAGCAAGAAAAGATCAACCTTTTGCTCCTATGGGATTAAACCAATCACCCCATCTGCCTTGTGTGTGCGTGTATGTGCACATGAGTAAATATCCARTCACAAAGACCATGCAGTTTGCTTATCCCACCTGTCATAGTAATCTTGCCATTCTAAAGTTACCTCAGAATACCTTGGGAGCAGCGAACTTGAGCTTGTACATCTCCCCTGCACCTCGATTTTATAAACAACTGGCTGATGCTGACAATGTACAACACATTCAGCCTGCAGTGGTTACTYAAGTGATACAACAAAGTCACAACTAAATCAAGCTTGCAGGTATACAGGARATGTTTCTGTTCAAATTCATAGAAATACATGTTATTTTTCAGGTTTTGGGAAAACATCCACTGCAGAATACCAAGTCAGGATTCTGACAATTATACATTGCCGGTAACAAACACAACAATTCTACCTACACACAAGAGCACTGCATACATATATGCAGAGAGCATTGCACCTGGCAATAAWAGAGCATCTTGCCACTTGTGGGCTTGTGATCTTGAACCAGACATTATCAACATTTCGTGATGTTTGTTTGTCATACAGACTTCAGTGGGGACATACACAATACCAAAGCATTGTGCTCAATATGGTAAGAGCCTAATACAGGTACTGCTGAGCAAAACAAAGCTGAAGTAATTTATGAGTGGATGACTTGGAGAGTCTAAGATTTCTTTGTACATACATGCATACCTTATATCTCTTTTTAAATCATATCTGCTTGGCAGGTACTAAGGTTGGTAGATACTGCCCAAAGGAGCTCACATCCCAGACCTCCAATCCGCCAAATACAAAACATACCCTTAACTACTCTCATCCTGTAAACCTCATTTAGGCTCCCCTGCTTCAAATTCCTGGTTTTCAGCGATGGCACAGGCTCAGTRAGGAAGCACATGCCTGCAGTTCAAGGTCCAGCCTTGCTCTCCGACAGCCCCGGGGTTCCGCACGGATCCCCGCTCCTCAGTCCCGCTGCCGACAGGCCGCGGCTCCCTCGCCCCACTTCCCGCCGGCGTTCCCAGCCGGAGCCGCGAGGGCAGACGGGACCGTCGGGAATTCCGCGCGCAGCCGAGGGCGCGAACCCCGGCACCGGCCGCTCTGCGGGCACGGACCCGCGGCCGACCCGCCCTGCGCATGCGCCCCGACACCCCCCGGAGCCCGGGCCCCGCCGCCGCCTCCGTTCAAAGCGGGCTCGCCCGCCCCGCTCCCGCCGGAACGTCCCCTCACCCGAGTGGGCTCCAGCCTCACGCCAAGCCGCGGCTCCGCCCCTGCAGCAGGCCCGGGCGTGCCCCGACTGCGGGGCCGCCCAGCGGCGACAAGGCACGCCGCCACCGAGTCGCGGCCGCAGGATGGGGACAGGCCACGGCCGCCTCACTCGACCCCGCCGCTTCCCGCCGCGCCGCCGCCCGCGGCCGCCATCTTGGACAGGGAGACAAGGGACCCGCGCCAGCGCTGGCGAGCCGAGCGCCGAGCGCCTCCAACGCGGCAGCCGCGAGGCGGGGGAGAGGGCGGGGTGCGTGCTTGCCGAGCGCATCGATAGCCCGGCGCGTTTCCCGCGGAGCCGCGTGTCCCCTCGGGGCCCAGGGACACATGGGGGGTACCTGTGCCCGATCTGGGCTCTGACCCCGACCACCACCACTGGAGGGGTGCCCACCTTGCCCCTGGCTTGGCACAACCTGCTCTTCGTGTGTGCGGGTCTGGCGCGGTCCTGGCACAGCTTCCCTCTCTTTCATCGTCCCAGTCTGCAAGAGACGGCTGGGCCTGCAGCCTGGGTTAGTTGGCTGTTTGTTCCTGCGGCGGGGAGTCAATGGGAAAGGATGAAATMCTATTATTAAATAGTTACAGAGCCAGCACTTTCATGAGATTAGTCACACGCACATGAATGGGCACATCTCCCTCAAGACTATCTGATTCCCAAGGAACTGAGAGAATGCACTGCACAGGTGGAGATTCAGGGCCAGCTGGGGCAAGAGAGAAGTAGGTTTGAGCAGCACACTSGGGGCTGCTGCCCATTGTTATAAACACATAGTGTTGGCTTTCGCAAATATTAGGATGAGTGTTATGTGTGCGATAAACACATATTGYAGTGTTGGTTGTTGCAGAGATTAAAGGTAAATGCTATGTGTTGTGCATCATGATCTAATGTTCTTACTTGTAGAAGTTTAGTTATGTAAACATGATTGTGAAATAATTACTGTTCTTATTTTTTTTGTAATTCAGATGTAGTTATAGAACACTTTTGATTATCTTGCAATAACTGAAATATTGTAGATTGTGATCTAAACTTTTCCATGTAGGATTTTTTTTTGCACATTGTAGCAAAACTATACAAGAAGCTACAAGGAGACTCATTGAGATTATGAATGGTGCTCTGGCTGCAATTACACTGATCAAAGGTAAGGAGAAAGGAATGCATGAGAAAAGGATCACCTTCCCCAAGGCTATCAGCACAGACCATATCAAKAAGGGGAATGCAAGATGCTTTAGTATGCGTATTAGAAAAAGTCTCTGGTCAGAGAAGCCTGTAAAATATCCATCGTTTGCAGCAAAAGGAGTCTGGCTGGTGAGACCCCAACCTTTGGATGGGCTTATCTGCATGGAAAGTCAGGGGTGTTGTAACCCCTGTTATAAATACTTCTCTATCGGCCAGGACCATCTGCTGAAATTATGGAATAGGGGTCACACAAACATGACYCCAGAAGCATAAAACAACCAGACTGTAAAAGGCGGATCCACGTTTAACAGTTACTAGACAAGCTTAAATATGCATAAATGTCTATGAATAGGCATTAGACTGATGTAACACAGAATGTATTTAAAGAGGTTAAAGAGGTTTCTGTCAATACCACGCGTGCCTCTGGCAGAGTGCCAAGCACCCAATGTCGTATCCTTTTGCTTTTATGTACCTTATTGTCATTTATTAAAATCCTTTAAATTTTAACAGGAAATTGAATTTCGTTTTCCACACYATCATGCAACACTTGCACCCTTTCTGATCGATTGTCTAAAGATGGCAGGCAGGAGAAAGGCAAATTGCCCCCAGTGCTTTCTGAAGGGCTCGTTCATTATTGCAAACGCTACAAGACATAGGTTAAAAAAAGCTTAGGAAACAGCCGGGTCAGAAAAGAAGCCTTTTTCCCACTAGGTTAGCTCTTCTTCACAATGACCTGTTGGGGGGTTCAACAAACCTCACTTCACTGTTACCTTAAATCCCATAATCTCCACTGATGCAAGAGCTGACTTTTTATTTAGATGCAGGCAGATCCCCCCCGTGACTCTTTGGCAGAGGCTGCTCACAGTCACATGCTGTCTGCAGACTGTGGTTCCCAGCCATGTCTGAGGTTAAACCTGACCCATCACGGGCTGTTCCCCAGATCCATACAGATCTGCCTTCTGGTCCTGCTGATGCTTTTGTGTCCTAACAAGTACAGAATGATCACAGTAATTATTTGCAGTSCAGTAGGGCCTAGAGGAATTTGAAGAGAATGGAGGCCTATGCCTATTATGTTGTGTGGAAGTGTAGTTTGATCCAAAGCAAGGGGTACAGCCTGTACACACAGATAAGTGTCTGCAAGTGCGGCAGCTGTAACACATCGGGGTAAAAGCTCACCAGCCCTTACGCTGAGCACAAAGCCTGTGCAGATGTTCTCATGCATGTACACTTGTGCCTGCTAAACTAAACTCACTCCTTGCCCTCCAGACCATAACCCAGGGAAGAGTCACCAAGGTGGACAAGTGCCTCTGCAAATTTATGACCAGAATCTTGCCAGAATTGAACTCAACATGACCTGCTCYTTTACATCTGTTTATTGGTGATGTTTCTCAGAGTCTCAGTGATGGATCCATGTTCTGTTCGACAATGCACAGCACAACAAAACCACAGTTCCCGTGTTTTTATAGTCTTCAGCTTTCTTGCTCATATTACAGGCTGTACAAAAATATCTATAGACAGAAACATTAGCTAACTCCTGAGAGCACCTGGCCTGTGKGTCAGGTGGAGGCAGAATGGAAACAAGACAGAAGAAGCCATGAATGTGGGAGAGGCTACATGCAGCCCAAAGGAACAGGGGATTCAGATAGCTTTGAAAATTGAGAGCTTAAATTAGCCTGGTATTTGATGATAGCAAGCATTTGGTAACAATAGCTAGTAAATAGGTAGGGATGGTGTGTCTAATATTCTGCACCCTAAAAGAGAAAGCATTTGAGCTCCCCTGCAGTTTAATGTTTTTAGTGCTGGATGGTTCATAGGTATTAGACTGTGTCAGGGACTTTGTGTGGATAAGAGAGAATGAATTTGCAGATGAATTTGCAAAAATGAGCATATAGCAGGATACTTGCACATAAAGCCACTGAAGCACCAATAATTCAGAGTTCCCCTGTTGAGATCTATCCAAGTTCCTTTCCTCCTACAGAACAAACATAATAACATAGTAATAATAATAGGAATTGTAATAGTAGCAACAATAACATGTAGTCCCTTCTCCTGCACTTTTCATCAGCAAAGAAATGCTCAGAAAAATTCATTTTGATCATTCCCATTCTTCAGAGCTCATAAAGGGAACCAGCAAGCACAAAATGATATTTATTTGGGTGCTTTCAGGCAGCTTGACCTTTCACTTTTCTAGAAAATCTGGGAATCTCTTTAGTGTATACACCTGAATTAAACAGGTCAGGTGGAGAAAATGTCAGAATGCTGATAGCAAATTTAAGAGAGTCACAACCCCTTCAAATCCTTAGCACTTGACAGAATTGTTTCTTTATACTCTGGTATACAAGAGGTCACAGCAAGGGAATCAGAAAATCAAACAGTCCCTATAACTTTTAAGACCTGAAGCACCGCCTCAGTCAGTTTCAGACTATTGTGAGAATATTGCTTATTCCTTTTGCTCAGAGCRTCTTGCATTCTTTTGTCCCTGGGAGGGAAACTACAAAAGGATACATGGATGTTCTCTCAGGTGTCCTCTTGGCCATGGAATACATATTGTATAAAACGCTCTTGCCAGTGCAGAACATTTTAGGATGTGCGTATAGTTCCCTATGCTTAATGACAGATTAGTTATGTGCTAAGGGCTTAGTGCCCATGAAGCCATCCAATCTGGTCTTGCTTTCCCCAGTTTATTTCCACCATGCATCCTTGTCTGCTTATTTTCTCCTGACTGAACAGCAGTCCAAGCTTCTAGATTTAGGAGCCCTCTTTTGATTCATTTGGTTTAGTTCTTAGTTCTGTGGTGTCCCAAGTGCAATKAATGTAAGAGAAATTAATAACATGAGCACAAGCTTACAGCCAGGTTATGGACTGAATTAAATTCAGCACTCAGAGCTGTGTGAACAATTATCAATTTTACCTGTCATAGTTTTGCMACTCATAAATCGCTTTTCACTCCTGTCCCAGTGTCTCATATTTTTTCCATAGATTCCAAGATGATTTTGAATAAACTGGAATGAGACCTGGTTTAAAACCTCTGATCTCCACATACCTAAGAAAAGCAGCACACAGAGAGTGCTACTCTTGTAGCACTTGTTAGTCTTGTTATTTGTTTTGCACAGAAAGTGTTACTCTTCTATGTGCACATTACAGGACTTGTATGTTTCTAGCTGAAGATGCTCTTAAAAAGAAACGTGGAGGAAGTGACCACGGTGTCTCTGAGACTTTAGGTGTAATGCACATTGCTTGCTTGCCAATTGCCTCACCCATGTAATTTTCTTATTTTTATTTTTTTTTTTTTTTACACCACTGCTGGTGGCTCCTTTTTGGATACAAGGACTTGCTTCCTTAGAGAATCAAAACTTCAAAAGATTTGTTACGTGCATTGTTTCGGAGTTGGGACTTTACTTAAATTACTTCCCACTTGTCTTTGCTTTTTTGCAGGGTGTATTCATTTCATGCCTCTTCTTCTTTCAGTACAGTCATTAGTGAAACCACGAAGGTGTACCCATTCAATTACAATGTCAATACAGCAGCCTGAATGTTCCCCAGAGCCACAGCATCTGTCACAGTGGGGACGCACCTTCTCCCCCTGCTCCTCGTGCTGAACCCTCTGTATTCATATGCTGAGAGAGCTAAGGTGAGATGGGAAGTCATTGTCCATCTGGTAAGGAAAAAGTACTCAGAATTACAGTAGGATTTGTGAGGTCTGGAGAGGAAGAGCCTGCTCCTGGATGTGGTTAAGCAAAGGGRAAAGGGTTATACTGGGGTGATAAGCATGATGGAAAGGCTAAATGCAGGCTATCAGTCAGCACTGAATTTGCCTCTTTTCACTGATTCTGATATCTTCCTTCTCACCACCTGCCAGGGAGGTAGAATTGGTTTAATCTGAATTTCACAGAGCCATGCAAGGCTTATTGCATTGCATTCAACACTGAGGTCTCCCTCCATGCCTGCTACCTGRAGACCTTGCTGGTGTCTGCTCACAACCCTGCCCCCATAAAACATCAGATATTCAG